GCCCTTCCCAAGCACGGCCCCTGCGACCTGCCCAACCCCGCGCCCTTCCCAGCACGGCCCCCGCGCCCTTCCCAAGCCCCGCCCCCTTCCCAGGCAGTTGAGTAAACTTGTTGCTTTGTCTTGCATTGGGGTTTCTTCTCACTCGGGTGTCTCTGCAGCAAAACGACGGTCAGTTCACGGTGATCCAGCTGGTGGGGATGCTGAGGGGGATCGCCGCGGGGATGAAGTACTTGGCGGATATGAATTACGTCCATCGGGATCTGGCCGCTCGGAACATTTTGGTGAACAGTAATCTGGTGTGTAAGGTCTCCGACTTCGGTCTGTCGCGCTTCCTGGAGGACGACACCTCGGACCCCACGTATACCAGCGCCCTGGTGAGTGCCGCACGTGTGTGGGAGGTGTAACATGGCGGCAGTGGTGTGGGCCGGGAGGTCAGGGGCCATCGCTCCGCCCCGGTGTGGGCGGGGCCACTCCCACGGTCTGAGGGCGACGGCAGTGTAACGCTGGCCACACCCCTTCCAATTATCTGCAGATGTTCTGTGGTCCAGATGGAAAAGGTGGAACAGATCTACGCTACGCTGTGTGTATGGAGGAACCTGGGCCGATCTGTCGCACTTTTTCCATCTAACGAAACATTGTATCAGGAGTAGAGACATTACGTGTCCATCATGTACACTGTGTGTCTATTCCTGAAAGTGAAAGCCCCGTATACTATCTCTCCATCTATACGAGCTGTCAGAATGACGCCGGCTCTCCAGATTCAGGTATCGGGGGTCTGAATAAGGTTAACCCTTTCATTAATGGACGTCTCTACACTGAGGGATCCATTAATGAATGGTAACCGCTGATTCTCATTGGTTACCAGCCTTCTAGTGCAGCAAATAACTCGCCACGTACAGTGTACGTCTCCCGTCACGAAGGGGTTAACCAGCAGCCAGGCGACAAGACACGGGGCCCCGTATGGCTCAGCTTCCAGCAGCCAGGCGACAAGACACGGGGCCCCGTATGGCTCAGCTTCCAGCAGCCAGGCGACAATACACGGGGCCCGTATGGCTCACATTCCAGCAGCCAGGCGACAAGACACGGGGCCCGTATGGCTCACATTCCAGCAGCCAGGCGACAAGACACCGGGCCCCGTATGGCTCACATTCCAGCAGCCAGGCGACAAGACACCGGGCCCCGTATGGCTCACATTCCAGCAGCCAGGCGACAATACACGGGGCCCGTATGGCTCAGCTTCCAGCAGCCACGCGACAAGACACGGGGCCCCGTCTGGCTCACGTTCCAGCAGCCAGGTGACAAGACACGGGGCCCCATATGGCTCAGATTCCAGCAGCCGGGCCACAAGACACGGGGCCCGTATGGCTCAGATTCCAGCAGCCAGGCGACGAGACACGGGGCCCCATATGGCTCAGATTCCAGCAGCCGGGCCACAATACACGGGGCCCGTATGGCTCACGTTCCAGCAGCATGAAGAGAACGCCGTCTATCCCGCTGTCCGGGCCTATCATTCATCCTTCCTCACCGCGCACGGCCAGTTCACCGCAAAGGATCACCGCGTGGCGGGATCGGCTGTCTGCGGTCTTCACCAGCACCCCATAATCCTCCTCACACCTCATCACAGTGTAGAGTGTAAGCTCTGGTGCGCAGGAACTGTACCATACACAATAATTACCCATCATGCATTTCCTCCCCCTCCGCAGGATGATGGCGGATCACGTGGTCACCTCCCATCCCCCCCGAGGTGACGGCCATTGTACGAGGCAATTCTCCTACACGAGGTCCTGGACTCCCCCCCTGGACCATGAATTGGGGGGTCCGGGAGGGTCTCTGGGGAGTGTACTGGAGCAGGTAAAGGGGGTGGAGTTATATCTCAGCGGGACACGGGGAGCCCCGCCCATTCTGCAGGTCAGGATCATTATGGGGCCATTTTCTGGTGATTGTTCTGCACCGTCCTATTGGTGGTCGGGAGCCGTATACATTGGGGGGGGAGGGGGGGCCAGGGTTGCCCCCCGAGATAGATGGGATCACAGCGGGGGAACTTCCAGGCGGATATTTTGCCGATGTCTCATCTCTGGCTGTACGAAAGGAATCCGACGTATTTCTCATACTCGGCTTCATACTGACAGACTGCGGGGCCCGTCCTGACCCCCGGGGGCCCGTCCTCCCCTCTGTCATCACCGTGCAATTGTCTGACTTCTTAATTGTCAGCCGAGGACGGAGCACCGCCGCCCAGAGAGGTGACCCCCCCCCAAATCTATGTCCTTCCTGGTAGGGCTCCCCCGCCTCTCCTCTGCCAGCGGTGGGAAGGTGTTTGGCGGCTCTCCTCACAGTGCGAGTCGACCAGCCATAATCCCGATGTCTGGGGAAGACATTCTCCTACACACAGCTGTCTTCCTGTCCGGTGATCCCTCCATTGGTGATCCCTCCATTGGTGATCCCTCCAGCCTCCATGCTGGGAAATCATTCTGGTGATGTCGGCGTCTCTCTGCCGAGGCTCCGGAATCCTGTAAGCTTGGTTCTGCTGACCCCTGACCCCTGTCTATGGAAGAGGCGGAGCCAACCTGGCCGGTCGCGGATGACCGGTGTCCTGGCTCCGAGCAGCACGCGTGTGGGCGGTTTGGTATGGCGATGGGAGCGGCCATCTTGGAGTCTGTCATGTGATTTGTGTCTCTTCCAGGGCGGGAAGATCCCCATCCGGTGGACGGCACCAGAAGCCATTCAGTACAGGAAGTTTACGTCGGCCAGCGACGTCTGGAGTTACGGCATCGTCATGTGGGAGGTGATGTCATACGGAGAGCGGCCGTACTGGGATATGACCAATCAGGACGTAAGTGGCTTTGTTGGGAGCCGTAGGGGGCGGAGCTGTTGGTGGGAGGAGCCGAGTCCATTGTGTGCTGATGATGATGATGGGCGTTGTGCAGGTTGTCATGGTAACGCGTGCTTGCCGCCATCTTGTCTTGCAGGTTATAAACGCCATTGAGCAGGATTACCGGCTGCCGCCCCCCATGGATTGCCCCAACGCTCTCCACCAACTCATGCTGGACTGCTGGCAGAAGGACCGCAACCACCGGCCCAAATTCGCTCAGATAGTCAACACGCTGGACAAAATGATCCGAAATCCCAACAGTCTGAAGGCCATGGCGCCGCTGTCGTCTGGGTGAGCACCCATCATCCTGTGCCAGATCCATCAGATGTACGATGGGGGTTGTAGTCCACACGGGAGACCTCACTATCCCGAGTGCCTTGGACGCATGCGGCCCCCACTAGGAAGGCCGTGCTGAGCGCGGTCGTCCATAGTTATTCTGTGGGGGGAGGGTAGCATGGGTCGGGGGAGGGTAGCATGGGTCG